AATTCGCGGCCACATTTCCGTACAGATGCCACCCCGCAGCGGCCCTTCCCGAGCAATCTCTCCGCTGCCTCTATGCGATGTCGCTCGTCCGCTTCATCAACGGTGTAACGGACCAGGGCCAGAAGGGCCGCGCCGCGATCCCGGTCGCGACGCTCGCGGAGGCCGCCGGACTGCCGCGCCTGCTGGTGGATATCCGCCACGAAGCGGTGCACAACGAGCTGCCAAGCCTGCCGCTGCTGCGGATGGCCGGGCAACAGGTGGGACCTGGTCACGTTTCCTGAGTCTCTCACGATTTCAATCTCTCAACCTTCCCCCCTTCCCCCCCTTTTTCACACGTTTGGTCACGTTTTCTGAAGCCCGTTTTCGTTTGATCTGGGCAAGTTCCCGTGGTCGAGGTGCATCTTTCTGAGTTCTCCTCGAGGTGTCCACGGGGCCGATACTTGTTTCATTGTTGTCCAATGGTTTTTCCAAGGATCCATGATTTTGCTCTCAATCCTTACCAGAGTAGTCCTCAGTTGCTTATTGTATGCTCTTCGTCGAGTAAGTCGGAACGAAGAACCTCATTTTCTGGATGGGAGGCAGCGCGCAGAATGGATGTCCTAGGGTAAGGCTGATACTCTCAGCGTACGCTTGTGAGAAATATGTCCGCAGAAAAGCGACCTCTTCAAACACTCGTTGACGCTGGAAATTCCCCGGATGAGTCAGTTAGACCACGATGAGAGAGGGGAAACATGAGTTCAGTAGATGCAAAGGAGAGAAAAAGCTTGTCGTGAAAGTGCTTGACTTCAACTTCCTCATCTCTCTGTCTGTCGTTTTTTCCCTCTCTCTCTTCTTTTCTCTCTTCGTATCCAACCCTTCAAGGAGAGTCGTTCTCACTGCGCCACGCGTATCTCCCGCAGGCCCTGTCTTGGCTGGAGGCGAACTACTGGTCTGCCCAGAAGCAGGCCTTGCTGCTCGCCTACACCGCCACCCAACAGGGCCTTCTGCAACTGGCCGCTCTACAAGGCCCCTTGAAACCAGAAGTCGAATCCACCCCCCCGAAAAAGCGAAAACGCGGCGTGGGAGAGGAGAAGCAGAAGAAGCAGAAGAAGCAGAAGACGCAGCACGAGGTGCTGGAGAAAGAACGTGCGCGGTTGGTCAGAGAGCTGGTCGAGGGGGGGCCGGAGAGTCTGGTGGGCGCCGTTTTAGAATCCGTGGTAAGCAGTAGGGAGAAAGGGGCGGCTTTGGAGACGGACTATACCTTGGAGCAAGACGGGAGCCCAGAAGAATTGGAAAAGGAAACGCGGAGAGAGGGTCTGACTTTGGAAGAGGTGGGCGGAGTGATTGGGGCCCTAGAGGGAAGGGCGCCTTACCTGCCGTCGATGCTCCTATCTGAGGCCATCCAGCGGCTAGCGGCGAGCGCCAGCTGGCAGGGGCCTACGGAGCCTGGTGTGAACGGCCTTTCTGGTGTGAACGGGCTCCCTTGCGCAAACGGGCCCACTGTTGTGGACGGGGGCTACAAGTGGCAGCAAAGTTTGAAGGAGTTTGCGCTGTGGTTGTTGGAACGGGGGGGTGGATCGGGTGGGTTTGGCGCCCCCCTGCTGAAGGTGCTCTTGCGTCGGTGTCTCGACATGGGGGATACCCTTTTGGGAGGGGAGCTCGTGACAGCGTTAATGACGTCACTAGCGCAGAGCAATCCGGGGCTATTGGATCGAGAGGGGGGTCAGAGAGGGGAAGGGAATGGCGGAGGCCTTCCGGCCAAGATGCAAGCGCTTCTGAGGCTAGCTACGGTGACGAGGAATGCGAGCCACGGCTCTGCAAACAAGAGCGTAGTTGATCCACCCGACGGTGAGAGTCTACTGCTCGAGTACCTAAAGTTCGAGTTACAAGTCTTTGGTTCGCAATGTTTTGGGGGAAAGTTATCCTCTCGTTTTCTCTTCATGTTTGTTGATCGCATGGTGAAGAGTCTATGGTGCTTAAGGAAGACTGTTCAACTTCAACGAGCACCAGCTTTACTCAATTCGAAGGAAATAGGGGCTGACCGATCAGGGCTGGATGCGAGGCGACGTCGAAAAAATGATCGGGCTTCTTCCGGGAAAATCCACATTGTCGAGTCGAATAAGCAGACTACCGATTGAGCAGACTACCGCATATTTTTGCTCACCTTTGCGATTGCAGTATCTAAGTTTGTGTGACGTCACTGCCGTGCGCCTCCGCTCATAAACCCCTGGGACCCCAGTAGACTGAAAGCTGCCCTTTCTTTGTTGGCAGATCTCGAGACAGCCGCACAGAAGCAGAGGGAGCTCTTGCACGCCCTGTCCCAGCAACGGTTCGCGAACGCGACCGAAGTAAAGGAACGTCTAGAGAGTGGCGATGCGCAGACTGCCAGCCCCTCTGCCCGAGAGAAACCTTCAGACGGTCTTTGGTCGCTAGCGGACGACTGGACGCCCTGTGCCCTGGGCACCGTGCCGTCGTTCCTGCATCCGCTCGGAAAAGTCGCCAGTCTCGTTTGGAGCAGGGGCGGAAACACGGGGGTGCAGGTGAACGGAACGAGGAACGGAGTTCCGGGGCCGGAAGGGAACGGAGTTCCGGTGCCAGAAGGGAACGGAGTTCCGGGGCCGGAAAGGAACGGGTTTCCAGGGCCGGAAGGATACGGACGAACACCGGCAACGGTGACGACAGGAGCGGAGGGAATGATGCCGGAGTCGGATGGGGTTCACGTTGAACCGTTAGCCGAATTCAATGGCTTCCACGTGCCGGCTGACGATGGTAAGAACGTTCCGAACGAGGGCGGAAGCTTGGACCGACGGCGAGACCTGGGAGCCGAGAGGATTGGTGGGGTGCTGGAAGAGATGCCACGTGGAAGCGGGATGGAGACAGCCAATAACGGGGACGGAATCCACTTGCCAGTAAATGACGTGTATCAGGGGGTGACGGAAAACGTGCGCGCCGGGCCTGTTTCCGGGGGGGTATTTGTTGACGAGATGTCTGATAGAGGCATAGAAAGTCGGGAGGAAGCGGAAAAGGCTAATGGGCATTTGGACAATGCCGGGCTTTGCTTGCAAGGGAGCGTTCGGCACCTAAGTCCGGAAGAGCAGGCACGTATTCGTGACGGCATAAGCATCTTGTAATCCGGCTTCGGCTAGCTCAGCGTTCCTGAACGTGTCGCCCGTTTTAATGACGAACAGGAGGGCTTTCCATTAGAGTCGGGTCCTAAATGATCTCTCCTTGAAGCGCAGCATAAGGGCAAAGCTTTCCCTGGATATGTCTGCCGCGGCACGTTTCTGCCAGTCCGACAGTGAGCATATCCAATTGTGTGTGAGGACAAAAAGTCGGGGCTACTAGGCTATTGACGCAGTCATTTGAATTCTTAAAGCTGCTATAATATTCCCAATGAAGCTAAACGTACGGCTGCTTATGTACGTGTTTGGATACAAGACAGTAAAAGCCAGTTGCATGGTTAAGCAACGGTTGCCAAGTTGAGCAACAGAATGCGTGCTTTGAACGGTACTGACTGATTGTGAATATGATTGATGGTCCTTTATATGATTCTTTCAAGACATCACGAATTTGATTTGCCTTCCCGCTGTTTGGTCGCGGACGCCGGTCATATCCGGGGGCCCCTTGAACCGTCGACGATCGGATCATGCAAGCGGAGCGGTGGCCACGCGCTTGGAGACGTACGTCAAGCGCATGGACGTAATGGCATGCAATATCTGCGCCATGCATCCAGAAGTATACTCACACTGATCCTCATGATCCAATCTTGCAGATCTGTGTATGTCTTGAACAGCTATGAGTGTGTACCCTCGTGCAGGACGTAGTGTACATCATTCATATAGTATACATGTTTCTACGAACAGATCTTTTCAACCTACTAAACTGCCAATGCAGTCTCAAGCGACACGCACTATCATCTGAGACAATTTCTCGTTTGCGATGTACGGCCTGGAGTCCAAGAGGTCTGTTTAGTACGTCTTGATCGTATGCAGTCAGTGACTTGATGATGCTATGGGAACAAGCTGCAATCCAAGCACCACGGTCTCCAGCAGATCTGCTGAGACGTTGGCCCAGTTTTTGGTTTCTACTAACCGCCTCACATAGGCCGTTGCTTTGTCTGCAATGACATCAACCGCCGACACGTGCTCGCCTTTTAACCAACGGATCCAGCCGAGAAGCGAATCGGAATCTATGCTAGTAACATCAGCAACGTCCCTGCACAGCTCATTCACTTGGCACGCCTCTCCAAGAGAAAAGAGCTCCTGCAACGAATGAGTCATTTGAGTCAGCAATTTTCGTATGCACCTTTCATAAGCTCACCTTGCATGGCACACCATAAATGTTGCTCGAAGGTAGTAATAACTATATTCTGTCCCTGTCGACCAGCCCTTACACAAGCCCTTCGTTTGACTGCCACAATACCATACGTAGACTGTACAAGTATGGATCATGTAGATGTTAAGCGACAAGCATAAAAACAATCGAAGAAAGATCGTAAGAGCTTTTGTTGCTTGGTTGCCCAGAAGCCAGTATGACGAGTCTGTCAAGTCGAACATGGCTTCGGAACAAAATCAGGTGTTCAGTCACAAGCACAAAGCAATGCCACAGTGCTTACCTGCAAGGTCCCAGCATCTTGCTCGAACACTGCATGCTTGTTCCCATAAACATACTGAAGAAAGCTGGTTATTGCTTTGTTGGTGGCCTGGCAGGGCATCTGACACCGCAGCTTGTTGTGTAGGTTCCACTTCTCTTTGGCCCAAGTCTCCGAGAACTGCTTACTGAAGTAAGGGACCTTGACAAGCACTGCAGTGTGTGCATACGCGAAGGTTCCCTCCTGAAGAATTGAACATACGAAGCTTTCAGTCGATGCCAGTACTCGCAAAATACAGCCGAGGTCATGTTTTTCTTGTGTCCAACTTGTGTCCAGAGGTTCTTAAGCACCAGTTGTGTCTAAAGGTTAAAGGGTGTCCAAAACAATATCCCGTTCTTCACTCAGATTGAGGAAGAAGAGGCTGAGAACAATGAAAAAGCAGGCCAAAAAGTCAAAGCGCAAGAAGTTCGTCCTTCTTTTAGAGAAAGGCCAAAGGCACATAACTTTCTGGATTGTAAGGTGGGAGACTTTCGCATCACAGAAGGACAAAAAGGAGGCAACGAGTCAGGCAACCAGTATTTCAAACACCCAGAAGCTTCTTCCCTGTCTGAAATTACCAGTACTCTGCCTCTGCAAGAGGTAGGCGCCATAAGAGACATGGGGAGCATTTATCACCTGCGAGTAAAGCTCTGCAACCGACATGACACTCTGCATTGACAAAGTGCAAGAGTCCTCTTACCTTGCTTTGAATCTCAACATCCCCAGTCTCATGCGCATCTTGCAACATCCCAGCCACAAACTGCACTGGGGCGCTGTCGCCCCTCTTTGGTGATTCCAGCAGGATTTCCAAACATAGAGAGATGCTTCTTCCTGGTGCTAGGACAACCTTCCAAGATCCATTCTCGCCAGGTGTGCACTGTGTGGCAGTTGGCTGGGGCTGATGAGCAGCCGCAGCTCCAAAGCCCCCAAACAGAGGAGCGGGCGGGGGGGGTGGTGCAGCAAAGCCAAAGTTCAATGGTGCTACACCAGCATGCACAGGTGGGTTTGGAAGGGCTTGGGGCTCCGCTCGGGGGGGTATTAAAGCACCTGGTGCAACGCTACAGCTCGAGATTGAGGCCTTGTAACCAAGCATGTTTGGCTTGGCGAGTGACAGATTGAGCTGGACCTCAGGTATCGTCCGCTGAATGTGCTGAATGTAGGTGATTTGATTTGTATCGCTGCACTTCAGAGTTAGGGGGATGGGAAGCTCCTGGTGAAAGGAGGCACATGAGAGGAGGAGGGAGAGAGACTTGTCATTGCACCCGACCGCCTCAGACTTGAATTGCAGGTTGAATGTGCTTCTGCACTCCTCTTTCCAGCTGGGGATGCGGTTACCTGACGAGTCCCTCTTGAGGGATTCGAATGTTTTGATGATGGCAGTACGGGTGTCGGTGAGGGTGGCCACCGGTGCGGACGTCATTGCAGTCAAGGTCTTCAACATCTGTTCAACAGTTGGATCAAGCAGCTCCATGTGGATGATTCTTCATCTGCCAAAAATGCTAGCTGCTCATTCTCCACCAAGTCCTTAGCTAAACATAATGTGGAAACCTCAAAGCTGTTCAGCTGCTTCAGAGGCCGTGATGTAAGGTGGCGCTGCAAGAGCTTGGCTTGGCATCAGCTCCACAGAAATGCCAAAGCAGTAGTAAGCAGGTCGAAAGCAGCTCCAATGTCAACGACGCCTCATGCCTGTCCCTGCCCTTGCCTGCTCTGCTTGGACTTGGAGAACCATCTGCCTGAATGCGAGTTGCTCTAAATAAAATCAAGCCACATTCTCCATAAGCGGATAAGATTTGGTTAAAACACGTTATCCTCCGACCTCGATAACGGCAGAATCTGTAGTCGTTGAGATGTCTCGACAGTAGGTAATAGAAAGAGATACGCTTTGCCGTCTCAGCACTCAGGTAGCATTACCGGATTGTACGACGTACCTAAGGCTATATCTTGCAACCCATAAGTGGGCGTTCTAGACAATTGGCAAGGAGGAAGCAAGGAGGAAAAGGGAAGGCAGAAAGAAAATCAGTTCATGCGAAAATTGAGCGTTGAACAAAGCTGCCATTGCTGGTATGCCCAGCATGCATCACGAATCACGATACAGGATGGCTGTAAGCTGACGACAACGTGCATCGTGCACCGCCATCGTGTATCTGAAAGCAACATCATTGATCATCTGCTTGGCATATTAAGTAGACGCCAAAGCACCACATCCGTCCGTGAATTGTCATGGCAAGCGGAGACGGTGGTAAGATCATACCACCTAGCAAGCGGCCTGATGGGACTCTACGAAAGGAGATAAGAGTCCGGGCAGGTTATGTACCGCCTGATGAGGTGCAGAGATATGAGTCAAAAGGAACTCAGGTGATTCCTCAGTGCTGGCCCCCATAGAACTACCTGAAATGCTGAATTTTCGTAACTCTGCATCCTTTGCTTGGGACATTTGACAATTCCCCGCTGTTCCTGCCACCCACTGTCACTGCGAGCTGAAGCATCACTGGCCCCTTTTTCTATTTCTCATTTGCTGCCGCTACCTCAAGGTCTTGGAATCTAGCCTGGAGTTTGCTATCTCAGCATGCTGCCCCTTCTTTTTCAATCGCCACTTGAATTCTCGCAGTGCTGCTTTGCAAAGTCTGCTTGTTCCTTGGTCTACAGCCAATTCCCCATCTCAATGAATTTTACAGAATGAAGATTCATATTATCACCTTCTGTTTGCAGTTCAAGAAAGGCGTGGGTGTTCCTGGTTTAGAGTTTGTGGACGATGGCCTGTCAAAACCAAAGGGCAAATCGGCGGCTCGGAACGAGCGTAGAAAGCAAAAGAAGGAGGTGAGAAGCGGTTGCATTCTGCATCACCATTGAACAGAAGGCACGGAAGTATTTTGTGGCCGCTTTACGCAATTCAGAGGCAGCTCACATTGGAAGGTGCTAGGGCCAGGATTGTGTCTGCCCATGCAAACGAAGTTACTGGCGGAAACCGGACGTAGGGAAGGATCTGAAGTCTGGGCTTTACATTCAAGCTTGGGCGACTCCTGGTTGAGTGACAACTTTACACATGCTCTGCCTTTGGCTCAATTTGGAGCTCTTACTCTTAAAACGACATGGATGGTAGTGGGGTCATAGTCTGAAACGTGTGTGGGAAGTTTAAGCACGATCGAAATTCGACCCGATCGAATCTCGACCTGCGCTTTTCTTCCAGTATCCATTTTGTGTCTGCTTTCGCTGTGCGGTTCTGAAACGCTGAGGAGTTGCGGATTACCCCGTAGCGGTCTCCTCAGGTACCTAGCTGGCAGGCACAAGATGAACGTTCCATCTTTTATCCCCCTTCCCTTGCAGCCTAGCTTTTGCGTTTGCTGGTTGACTACCTCACCATAGTTGGACCTCTGCTTGCCCGCGGTAGATCTCTCTTCAGTCCGCCAAAAGGGGCACTCTTATTCTGACAGGAGTCTGCATCCTCCACAAGTGCACCGGCGGAGAGTTTAGAAACTCGAGTTGCGGGTTTGTCCGTTGCGGAAGCTGGCCCGACTGGTGGTAAGGGCGAGGGAGGGGCGTCCGCTGCTCCCGCTCCGTCGGCAGGGGCGAGCAATGCGGAAGACGAGAGGGGAGCGCTTGAGAAGAAGCTGAGGGCACTCAAAAAGAAGGCGAGGGGCTCTGCTCTCCTCGGTTTTGGGTTGGAAAGCAGTCCTCGGACGGCCCCGGGTGGAGAACATGCACACTAAATTTGGCACTCACGATAGAGATTCTCGACAGATTGCCATTCAGACTTCCGACCGTCAGAAGCTCAAAGCCGTCTGCAATGTAGTGTGGCGCCCGTCGAATGCTGACGCCTACTACGAGTTCCACCTGTAAGTTAAGTTCGATGGCGGAACAAAGATGGTGTTTTTAAGATAAGCCAGCGACCTTACATTCCTGCTGGCGCTGACCCATCAAAGTGGCCGGTCAATGGTCGGTGGATCCGGCAGGCTCATCCAAAGGCTAGAGTTGCATGGCCGGATGACCATTGTACAGATCGAATTTTCGGTTCAGCTTGGCAGATGTTTTTGTACGAGAATGAACAAAAAAGGCTTGCTGGCTCTACAACCTTGGAAAAGCTTGATGCGATTACTAGCTTGAGTCTCCGCTAAGCTTGTTGGACCAGAACTTTGTCTTGCTGGACAAAAGGTTCACCGGCTTTCCGACCAGTAAGTAAATCATTGGGTTGGCGATTCTAGGTGGTACCAACACTGGGGGGGTGGAAATCTTCTGAAACTTTCTGCCAATGTTCCAAGGTTCCCAGCGAGCCTTCAAGTACCTCGCTTACCAAGAATCCAGTGTCACTGCAGAGATGGCGCGTGATCCCGAACCCCGGGCTAACCTTGCATCTTTGTGTGTCGCAGATTCGTCAAGCAGAGGCTATAGAGGAAAGTTTGAAAGCGGGTGGCGCGGCAACTGACGAGCAGAAAGAGAAAGTAAGCAAGTTGCCACTATGGCGAAACGAAGAGAATATGTTAGAGAAACAGATTTCGCAAACAGCAAGCTAAGTAAGCCGACATTGATATGTCAACTTTGTACGAAATTCTGCACGCACTTTTTGAGTCATATGTGCTTGGTATCATGCTAGATTGGGAGGATCAAACGCGGTCTGTCGACGACGTTTTGAGGAGCCCATGCATACTCTCTGAAATTATCCGGAAGATAGAGATATCTACACACACATGAACCACATGCCTTCTTCCTTTGCAAAGAAAAACTAGTTAGCTCGCTGCGTTTGAACTTATGCACGTCGCGGTCTTGCCACGCGCCGTGTTGTACGTGCAGGCGCCCCTGGCTCTTGCAACGACAATCGAATATACAGTGTAGCTGGGCCGGCCTAGGTATCCCAGTCATGGCGCGTGCCCAGCGATAGGCCATGCAGGGCGAATAACTGTTGCCAGATTAGTCCTTGCGTATGGTGACCGGTCGATCGGAACGTCTCTTTTCCAGCATGTATGTATACCTGTGACTGCGGACATGTTCTGTAATCATATATGCCATTGGAACTTCATGTGCATAGCACACCGGCATTTGCGGGTCCCGCCAATGTATAGCAGGCAAGGGGTTGCCTCTCAGCCAGTGTAGCTGAAGAAGAGGCAGTCAAGTTTTTTGCATGCCTTTCTGATAACTTAAGGTATCAGTTGCCGCGCGGATGTGTCGATGTATAGAGGCTTAAAGCTAGCAAATCGATCGTCTGCTTCAAGACCTGGCAACACTGACCGAGCCCCTGAAGGTGTGGCAGCGTCGTGTGTCTATTCGAGCAAGGCATGCGAAGATTGTACTGCGACGTCCTGTTTGAGCAGACCGTACTCTCTCAGCAAACGCGGGAGCGTCTGTGCACGGGCCACTGACATCAGCGGATGCTGTCAATGATTCTGATGAACGTTCATGTCAGTGGCAAGTAAAGTCAGTAAGTCTATGTTACATTCGTCTGAGCGGTACGTTCAAGCGAAACTGGAGTACCAGATGTCCGTTTGGATCGATTTCTCCCTGTTCTTGAGTGTCTCTTTGTACTGATGTCAAAGATGCTGACCTGCCATTGGCCGCTTTCAATCTACTGTAATTTCATATTGTCTCTGCACAGCCAAGGGGCACCTTGAATGTGAATGCGTTAACACAACATGTCACGTCTACTGGAGGGGTTTGAACCTGTCACAAGTTCCTCATTCGACAAGCTTGCCTTGTGCTTTTGTACTATAGTTTGCCGGCTACCTTTCCGGCTTTTAGGGAGATCAGTCCCTTCGCGGCCAGGTTTGCTACCGAGTCAGCAATTACGCGCGCGTTGCTCCGCTGGTATCCACCTGCACCGGGCAAAGGGACGCAACTCTTCAGGCACCCTGTTATTGCTCAGCCTTCATCTACCCCTTCTTCCTTGCGCAAGGTTTGCAGCAATTTCATCCAAAACTCGTTGATATCCCTCCACTCCATTTAGAGCCGTCAAAGATTTCGCCCTGGTCCTTGACAGGAAGGAATGCCGCCTTCTTTAAAAGCGGTCTTTGACACTCTCTCTGTTGGTTCCTCGTCGCCAATTTCAGGTGCAGGTCAGCCAGTCAAAAGACAAACTAGACCTCAATAGTGGGTCAATAGTTCTGCCCGATGTTCCCAGCGCTGACGTCAGCATCTTCGGACCTTAGAAAGGTCGTAAGCCGATACACTGAAAGGTAGCACCAGCTTCAACCTGAGCATCTCGGGCAGGCGGTCTTTTCCTCTCCGACGTCCTTCATCTGACGTCATCGTCAAGGGGTATCTCCCTCACCTGACGTCACCATCATGATGGGTATGCTCCGGCTCCGCGCGTGCTGGAACACCATCTCGTCACGTGCCACCACGCCCTCTTCCGTGACGTCCAAACGGCCCAGCGGATCCCCTTGCAGGACGTCCGTACCGGCGTTGTACACAACTAGATCGGGCTCGAACTCGCTGAACGCCGCCTGCAGATCAATCAAGCGGATGGTGTCAACACTATCTTTTTATAAATCATAAGCCGTATGAATGACTGTCTGACGATAGAAGGTTGGGTGGAATTAGGTTAGGGCGTGGGTTCAAGTCTGGTTGCGGAATGGTTGGATTTTGGGCCGGTTTGACGCTGTCCGGTTATAAAACCCACCATTCATAGGAATGAGAGTCCAGAGAGCGCGCCGACACTGCGAAGCGTTACTCTGTTTCGGGGCCAGTCTTTTGGGTTTTGTAAAGAACGAGGACGGCATTGTATTATGGTAGCACGAACGAGACACATTGGATGGCTTTGGGCGACGAAGCCCTGCTCTTCCCTAGCTTGTTTGAAGCAAGCGGTAAAATGCAAAGGAACCTACTTCGCGGCACCTCAAAGACGCGAACTTAAGGCAAAATTTCATCTGACAAATCTTACCAGATGCATATCAGCCAACTAAAATTTCAAATCCCTAGGATCGAGATCTTCAGTGCAACACTCAAAAGCCATTTTCGTATCAGAGCGAAGGGCCTCCTTTCAAAAGAAGGAGAAAAGAGTTGGTACATTACCTTCAGATTCATTTCTAGTAGTCGCAGGTATTCCTGGTCACCAGTGCCGCTCTGAAAGCACGTGTTGAAAAACGGCAGTTAGAAAGAAGTCTCGATTCGTTTTTGACTCAGCGAGGAGCCACGGAATCCACAGTGCGCACTGCGTAAGGGGACGCTCAAGAGAATCCTGCAATCTACTTGACCCCGTTTTTAGTAAAAAATGTGCATGCAGGTGACGACTTTCGGGCAGTGGCGATGAGCCCAGTCAACTCGCTTCGAGATCCACATAGAGGGCGTTTACTGCATCCCAACCCTCGCATGCTTGAGCAGCCTCGCTGCATACCAAGTTTCGTTGCTTGCGGAGTCTGTCCTAAGCAAGGGCTCCCTAATACGATAATAATAATTGTTGTCATCCTTGATCGCAACAAACACTGCAATTGGACAACAAGACGTAACTATGGAAATACCGGTTTAATTTGTCCACTTTCTGAGGAACAGATTGGCGTAGCGGTTACTCAGAAACACGTGCGAGTCACTCACTCTCAGCTCCACCGCTCGGCTAATGGCCTTCTTTGCCGGCCCGTCACGCGGGTAAATCTCTCGGTTATACATGTCCAATATGTACACCCGTTTATCGTCCAGAAAGTCCCTGTAAACGAAGGAGATTGCCAGATGAGACATCTGATCGTTCATACGAGAGGTCGTTTTGAAAGAGTCGGAATGAGCAAACAACGGAACATACTTCTATTCAAACTATCATCTTGCGAACGAAGCTTGAGATTTCAGGGGAGTAGCCAACCAGTGAGTCTGGCTCTGCATCCTCTTCGTTGACCGCGCAAATGTGATAAGAGTACAAAGCTGCAGGGTCAGATGAACGGTTTTGCAAGACATCAGTCATGGGCTGCGAACCAGCTTCGACATCAGTGGCCGTCGCAAACAACGGATGCCACCATCTCAGAAAGGTTCTTTCGAGCTCTTTCCCCGCTTTTCCCCTCAACTTTCGTGGCCGTTTCCTTGGTGGGCGTCTAGGTCCACAATCATCACCCGCTCGACCTTTTGCTTTTCCATCGCGAACTTGACGGCGAGCGTGATGTCAGCGTACGCGCAGAAGCCCCCGCCCTGGTAGCCGCAGCAATGGTGGAACCCGCCCCTGCAAGCAACCAAACTCAGCTGAATCCGATTCTTGTGAAGAACTTAGAGCTCAACAAAAACGCTGGTGCCGGAGAGCTTAAAAATGGGTGCTACACGGATTTGAAGAGGGTTGCGGGCAAACATCTTCTCTGGAAGGGCGCAGAGACCTGAAATCCAAGCAGACAAAGCGACAGGCTCGACGCGATTGGAGGATTCAGAGGCCAGTGAGGAAGATGCAAGCCGAAAACGTAAATGAGCACCGCTCATTGACCAGATCAATGGAAAAAGAGACACCTACGCGTGCAGAATGAAAATATTGTAACGGATTCGGGCGCCAACGAAAAGACATGCAAGCCCTTCGTCTAGGAAAAGCGCCGCTGAGAGTTAGATTTCGAGGACAGAGGAGAGCGTCGTCAACCGTAAATCGTGGAGGGCAAAAAGCAAGACAGCCAAAGGCCGGACAACTACTGTAGTCGGCAAAGAGATTCTGAACCGCACGCAGACTGCGCCGGAGGATAGCAGTAAGAGCACCGACGAGAATTCTTTTCGGCTTAAAATCTTCTTTCTCCTCTCTCACCCCTTACCCGATGTTGATCGCCCACCCCCTCTCCTTCGCAAGCTTTCCGGCGAGGACCGTTCCGCCGGTCTGGTACCGGAACGGCCGCATCAGCCGCCGTTGGACGAGCCAGTTGGGCAGCAGAGCGACAAACGCCAGCTCCGTGATTTGCGCCACAGTCACGGAAGTTCGAAGGCTGGCCAAATACTCCGGAGTGTGTGCCTGCGATGGGAAGAAGCCTTCAGGAGATGCGGATATACTTAAACTCTTCTTACATCGTTAAAGCGAGTGGAAGTGTGATACGATTTCGGGCCACGGTCACCGGGTTTCGAAGGCTGGCCAAGTACGCCGGAGTGCAAGCCTGCGGTAGAAAGACGCCTTCACGAGTTCCGAATAACTTTCTTGCTTCGTTGAAGTGGGGCAAAAGTCACGCGATCAGGAGCCACGGTCACTGAGCTTCGAAGGCGGGCGAAACACGTCGGAGTGTGCGCATGAAGCGTGGACCAGTAGATTTGTGAATAATGGTTAAGTAAGCAGTTCTGAGAAGGTTGCATAAATCTCCAGGATCTGAGCTAAGGTTACCGAGCTCCGGAGACTCATCGCTACTACAAAGCGTGCGCCTGAAAGGGGAACGGATTGTGTTCGCCAAATTGAAGAAATGGAAGACAGCTTGTCATGTGGACCGCTGTATGGTTAAGTGAGCTTCATCAATGGTAGCCACGGTCCCAGAGCTTCCAAAGGCTTGCCGAGTATTTCAAACGTACACAAGAAGATACGTAAACGCATTGGGCACAGCGTGACAAATGGTGCGAGCGGCGGCCGAGTAAAGCAGGCTGCTTGATTTCAACTACGGTCAGCTTCCGATTGGTGACAGGAGATCTCGGGTTTTCCTGCCAAAACTCTGGAGAACGTCGGTGCCAAGTGTCAATCCTTTGTTCACAGGTGCTTGCTGTGGTGTCTACTTCTTTCATTGGCGGATACTGTCAGAAACTTGGCGCAAAACCGAAGGCCTAAAAAAACAAGCGGCCCAACAACGAACCGAGGAACCATGAATGCTTTTTAGCAACCTCCCAGTAACCACTGGCGCATCTAGGCTTAAAGAAAGAGATTCCGTTTGTGGATTTGGAAACGTGTGAAAAATCATGGCCAAAGACGGTTTGGACTTTCCACATTCCCGCAATTCTCAGGGGGAGGTCGTCGGCGGAAGCTTGGCGTCAAAGATCCGTGCGAAAGCGTGGGAGTCAATTGCCCCAGGATTTAATATCATCGGCTTTGACAAGAGTGCTGAGCTTCTGAAGCCTTCTAAGACCCTCGTCAGTTACCCCGAAATTCTCGGCAACGCCCTCGATTTGTATAAGCTGGGTTAACCTGTCACGCAATCTTTTGGCCGCTGGACAAGCCAGATTCAGCACGCTGGAATTGAGCATTATGCGTCGAGCCATTGTAGCAGCGTATCAGGACTATGATCGGAAGACGATGACAAAGATAGAGCAGCTAAATCAACACACGATTACTTAAACCCGAATTGCACGACGAAGAACGGACGCGCTGTTTCGTAGTCAAACGTACAGGAAATGGCCACAGAGAAAGTACAAGAGCTCATTAAAATTTTCCGGAACGCATCTTTGGGACAAATGTCCCAGACTGCGTCGCACATTCATCGCTCCAAAAAAAGCTGCCAAGATGCTTAGTCAGCCAGATATTGCGACATCAGCGCCAGAGAACAGGAAGCCGAAGGATGCGAGTATCGACCCCTTGGCTGAGGACGTTGAGAACCGCTACGATTGTCGGCCAATATTCCTCCGTGCTGGTAAGGTTCTGAGCACCTCAAAGCCGTCACGGTGTCTTGATGTACAAACACAGTGAGTCACCAACCGCTGGCACAACGCGAACGTGTTGCCTCCAAAAAGGAGGTAACATTCTGGAGGGCGGCATGAAAGGTTGCATCAAGAAACAGGGCGTCAGCGCCGACGGACGGTGTACTGTTACAAGTTCCGGTGGGCATCGCTGCCTTGCTTTTGCAACCAATCCTCGATTGCCGGACTTAAAGCCGCAGTAGTCACGCGAAGAAAATGCGTCTCAAGACGTCCAAAAGTTGCAAACGCAGAAGATAGACTGAGGCACTGCATCTCAAAACGTCATCAAAGTTGCAAAAAGTTCCACCCGTTTGCGGCTGTCCTCGAGCGCGCATGTTGAAGCACACCGAGGCATTTTGAAGGCATCCAACTTGAAAAGGCTACAAGCTCTTGGAGGAAGTCCAATCACAACCGCACGGACGACCAGAAACTGGGCCACGGAAGCAACCACCTTGAGGAGATTGACTGTGATACGTGTGCGAGGACGAGCCAAACCAAAAGCAATGACTGGATTACCCTTCCCTGTTTCTCGTAAGATATGAACGAGCATCAGCAATCTCAGATCGTGATCAGTGAGGTGCCAAGTAGTGAGCCCCAGTCGTTCGTCCGCATCATGGCCAACGAACCCAACGGATGCCCAAGCTGTCAATCCACGATAAGCAGACGCCCGTGCTGAATTGAGCAAGGCTGACGGATCGTTTCTCTCTCGTCTGATGCTGGCTGCGAGAAGTACTATTGCGATGAACCATCCAGGGCTTTCAAGATCGCAGAATCAAGTTTTACTGCGCTGCCGAAAAGGATTCTTGAAAGCCTAGTATGAAGGAGGAGGATCACAAGCACCTCAAATCTTCGAGGCGCAATCAGTAGCGGTTCGATGAGCATGCACGTATCATTGATGGAAGACTAATAACGGAGCCGGTAGGAGCGCCGCTGAGTTCAGGCGTTTGCTTTCAAAGTCAGAAACCACGGGTTTCGCAAACGGTTAGTGACCACATACTACTCAAGTAGACAAAGTTCCCTCCAGACAGCTACGCACAACGCACAAAGCCTCGGGAAGCATTCCTGAGAATCGGTGAAAGCAAACCTAGAACTTATGAAGCCTTGCCCATCCCAGGTGACTTTGACCAACTACGGTGTATGTTGAATGGCACTTGAAACCAGTACCGGTCGGATGACAGAGCGAGCATTAAAGTTGGCACTTGAAATAGGACAAAAAGGAAACAAACAAGCCTGGAAACTTCTCACCAGAAAACATACGAAGGACTGCCCCAAGCTAACCTGAAGTCAAACACGTATAACTGAGTCGGATCCCGAGACGACGGTCGGACTCGGGTTAAAGGGGTAGCGGCTCAAAAACATGTCAGGTGAAGGCTTTGCGTCAACAGCAAGAGACAAACGTACCCGTGCAAGCCACACAGGGAGTCCTCTCATTTTGATGCTACTGGGAAAGAAGCATTTGGAGGAGAGCACACCAATCCCGTATCCAAAAACGATGGACTCGCTTTCATACTGTTTGGAGAACATGTCGCACGTCCCGCTACTCCAGGAGCAAATTTAAAATTACGACTCTAACGGGCGCACAGTGCGGCATCATTCCGAGCAACGGCTTGAGGCATTCAAGCAGCCCCGGTTGCAAAATCCTGGCCGATATTTTGATTGCCCTAATAAAAAAAATATCCCCAGGACAAACCCGGCTCAAGTCACTAACGTTTTCAGAAGCCATCAAGTCCACAGGAGTCCTTAGGAACTTACAGGTCTAAAAGAAAGAAGCGAAGCTTACAGACCAATAATCAAACAAATGACAACGAAAAGTCCACTTTGTAGCCCTGAAACGTGTCGACTGCTTTTTGTTGCATCAGCTCCGCCCTGCAGAAGCGGAGGGCGCAGACTTCAAACTGCATCTCCGAATATCAAAGGAGGTCCGACTCTATCAAAGGACTGCCAAAAGTGCTGACGTCAGCGAACCCGCATCAGCCTGGGCAATCACGAAGCCCAGGCCGGGCTCCGCATCATCGCCAAATTACAGTCGCACAAGCGCAATCTGTCGATGCGCTATATGCAACGCAATTTGACCCTTGACAAACTCACTGTGACTGGGGGTGACCAACCAGGCTCAGAATCGAACCACCATGCGAAAGGGAGCCAAAGCAATTACAGGAGACATGCCGAGTGTTACCGAAGTGGCAGTGCACAAGTTGAGTTGAGCAACTTTAGTCGCGGGGTCGACGCAGGACATGTATTCGAACCTTGCTGTGGATGGCGTCAAAGATCGCATAGAGGAAACGGGTCTCGATACAACCAGATTGATAATTCGCATCATCGCCTAGTGGTTTGTTAGCTGAAAATTTAGCACTGAAGGGTAGTATGTTTGATAATCTCACAAAGGCACCTCGTACCGCACCAAACGACCGACGGCAGATCCAACAAGGGTCGGATACAAGCGCTACAATCCTGGTTAATCCGGCTTAGCATGAGGCCTCGTAACGCAGACTGTAAAACAATTCCACCATTCCAACCAAGATTTTAAGGAACCCTTTCGAATCAAAGAAACCATGCGTGTGTTGCATATTTGGGCCAGAACGGCGGATGTCGGCAGACAGCGGACAGAGCTTTAGAGGAACAAGATTGGTTCGAGTTGCAAGCCAAGCGGCCCTGGAATGTGCGGCAAGCGACAAGCGACTCCGAGCAGTATCAATACACGTCTGAGCTGTTTCAGGCTCGATACTCGTTCTCATCAAGGTCTCCCGCGAGATAAAAGCAGAGGCGCACCAAGATCGGAGAGCACAAAAGCAAATTGTCGGTCGCAGCAGAGTTTAAGAACGCTTACGAACGGTGCCCTCAAAGCGGCGCGAAAACGACATTCCTGCGTCCTTCTTGCACCAATGGTAGACGATGAGGACTCTGCCGCTAAAAGAAGCGTCGCTTCGAACAGCGGAATGCAGGTAGAAAGTATGCACGACAGCGGCTTGGGTCTTCAAAAGCTCAAGGAAAACGGCGACCGGGAACGAAAGGTGGAACAAGGGCATGGCGGGGCTTTCTCTGACCACGGAACAACCGAAATGTAGCATAAGGAGACCTCAGAGATCGTATGAGCCAATATGCTCACCAATCTCCATCGTCTTACGGCCACCTTCCAACTGTATTTGAGTTCCTACGTCAGCTTCCACGAGAAGGGCATGCCTTTCAAACCCAGGCGGCGTCTGACAAATCACTGCTGGGCTTGCTCCTCTTCCAAAGGCACTCAAACACAAGAAATGCAGTACGTATGCCACGGATTGCGTATGGAGTGTCACCGACACCTGGCGGAAAGTCCCCAATTACTCTGGTCGGGCAACGGGCAATCACACGCAGAAGCCCGGCTCTCTCGTGGAAAAATCAACGACAAACATCTCTCACAGAAGTGTGTTTCACCTGGAAGGCCGTGCCTCGCATAAAGATACAGCAAGACGTTGCAAAGACGATATCCAGCTTTGTCATGCAGCCTTTGAAGTATGGCATCAGAGAGAAAAGCCATCTTTGAGGCACACAGTCTGTGCGGCCCATCATATCCGCACAATCACGGCCCCTAATTGTACGAAAAAGTAGACTCAGCAGCAAGGGCAACAAAAGCGGCATCGAAAGGCCGCCAATCACAGGAGGGAACTTATGAGTTGCAGCTCTAAGTAAGGCCCGACCAAGAACCTCAAAGAGCATCTGATTTGTGATGCTAACCCATGTCAGGCAATAAGTAGACACCTTTGAGAGTCAACCTTGTGACAAAGTGCAAACGCACGTACAAATTAAACAGGTGAAAGGTCCGAAGGGGCAAAAGGAAACCTCATCAAAGTCGGATAACACAGAGGCGCAGATCTGGAATGGACGACTCTCTGTTGAATTAGTCCAAGTCGAAGGGGATGCAAACTTACAGCAGCCTTACAAAGACCCTGCTGTTGGCCTTTTAACCTCCAACACGTCGATGCAAGCGATTAGAAGAGGTATAACATCCGTGAATTGGTTGAAAGCAATGGCCAATCAGGTAGAGTTGCAGTTCCCAACTCTGAGCTGGACCTGCGGAAGGGTCCCACTGCAGGCGTAATCCCCAAACACTAACCTCAAAAACCAGACGTGCGATTGAAGGAGAGCTCTTGGTCAACCAACCCATAATTCGTCAAGAAGGACGTTTGAGTTGCTGTCACATCACAAGAAGGACCCGCAACCAACGCGAGCCAGCCAATCGCACACTTTCAAAGATTGGACGACCAGTCAAAGAACGGCTCTTGAGGAACAACTAGCTTTTACCACGTCAAAAAAGTAAAAACCTCTAGATTCTCAGCGCTCACCACCAGGAGGTCCTCTTGGGTAGCTTCTTGCGGCTCAACCACTTCATCCCGCCGCACTTGGCCGCCCTCCAGAAGAAAGGCATGGCATCGCCGCCACTTGGTTGAGTCGAATGGGTGCCTGCAGGGAGCAGTCAAACAAAATTAGAGCCATGGATGGTGAGTTCATGGTTGACCACGTTATACTTTGCCAATACAGGGGCAAAAGGGATAGATACGCGACTCAAACAGGATATCTGGAAGAAATTCTGAGACATCGAAACGTCTGAAAACCTTTTTTTTGAGAAATTGTGGTCAATTGCTGCCGGCCAGCTTCAGATAAAGTGAGGGAATGACATGAGGTCGACGAGAGCTTTGCTGACACGTTTTCAATGTATCTCAACGCCTCAATAGATCCCAGCTGTCTAATTTGAATGCCCTGCAGACTCAGGTCCATTTTAGTTCAATTGCAATAGGCCCGTGACAACAGATTGACATTCGAGCCCTTTGACCAATGTTCTGTATCAGTTAGTAATCTGTCATGGACAGTTTCATGTTTTGAGCCACCTACCATATAAAAAAGCATTGTTTTTCCAGGCAGACGTCTCAAAAGATGGATCTGTGCTTGAAAATTCTTCATTGACTTTCTTGATGACATCCCTGCACTGACCACGAATTCCACATCTTAGCCATCTTTTGACTGTGCAAAGTATAATTGACCTAAGAAGGAACTTACATTTTCTCCAGGCCAAAGAAGGTGATGTCGTAGTTCGATGTGTACAGAATTGGTTGCTTGTTGGCTGGTACATCAAAGTAGAGCGAACTGCGTGCGATGCGGTCTGCTGCTTCCTTGTCCACCGGCCCTGCAAATATGCCATGTATGAGACTTTCAGAGCAAGAAAACAGAAAAATAGACAGTCAGGTACTTGAAACCGCAGGGTGTGTGCAGAATGGTTTACTCACTGACAACATCAGCACTTTCTTATGAAAGAACGCGATGTCTTGCTGTTGAACTATGCTGACTCTGCTATCCTTAGTAAAGCTAGCCCTTTGGAAGAAAGGCACTGATAATCAACACCAACGCATCCTTCTTGTTAGCATGCCCCATGCGCAGTGATTGGTTTGAATGCTTTTGTATGTTTAACGATTTTGAATGTAATTCAGGCAACCAGTTGTGAGGTTTTGTTCTGACCTACATTTCATTACATCCCTTGCAAGCACTTGGAGGACAAATCACTCATCATGAACTAGTCACGAATCTTCCAGCAACTAGCTTGCAATGCTGAAGCATCATTGTTGAATGCAGCAACGTGCTTGCAGCCTACTATAGGAGCGAACTGCCAAGCAACTTCCTGTCTGCATTGCACGTCATCCTCACCTGTGCCAGATGCCTCAGCTCGATTGAGCATCTCAGAAGGTCCAGCCCCCTCAGCTGGCTCGGGTTTGGATATGGCCCGAGTCACGACCATGGCTTTGCTAGGACTAATTCTAGGTGACCTTCTGAACGACGGAAGTGCTGGCCGGTGAAGTATCAGCAACTGCACGGAGATCAAAGCAGGGCACAGAAGCGCTTGCATGCTGCGAAGCCTGCTTCAATTGTAGCCTCCAAGACGGGCTTCGGGACAGCCCCCATGAACGCTTCAGAAAAGTTTGCTGCAGCCTCAGGCTCAGAGGCCAGCTGATCGAGCCTCCACAGCTGGAAAGAACTAGAGCGGCTGGTATCTGCGCAAGCACTTGAGACCGTTAGCGGTTCAATTGACCGATTAGACGGTTCTTCACCCGGGGAGCGAAATGACGTGTACCCTGTAGGACAGAGCAGTGGTCTATAGACTCCCGTTTCCTTGGACGACGGCACTGAAACTTTGAAAGCCATTACCGTTTCACCGTCACACTACTGAGGCAGTGACGTCAACAGCCGGACTGCTTGTGGACGAAAGTTTAGGTAATATCAAAATTATTCAAGTTTGAACAGTCCTAGAAAACGCTGGCAAAGCAGCAAAGCAGCAAAGCAGAGTTTCAAAGCAGCTGACTTTGTTCCTGCAGCTGCAGGAGGCATCGATACACCCTGGTGCCACCGTAGTCGGCGTAGAAGAGTTGGCGCTGTCACATTTGCCGCAGGGTTACGTCGAACTGGCCGACTCCCAATTAGGTAGAGCCATTGGTTCCCTCTTGAACGAGCCTGCCACACATGCTGCAGTCTCCTTAAGGAAGTACTTGATTGAAGTGGAAATTACTTTAACTTCGGTTCTAGTTTTGGAGCTACATGGATGTGTCGCAGATCAGCTGGACAGTGGAGGAGATTCTCCCAGAGGATGAAGAAGACAGGGGCAATGGTACTTTGCTCACACTCTGTTGTTCTGCAACTTTCAATCTTGGCTGCCCATCAACCCACAGCATTGTGCCTTTCAAGGCTTGCTAGAATGCAGAAGTGGTCGTCAATCTTGTCGGAGTGTGGTGGTCTGTTGTGCAAGGTTTTATTCACCCTCATCTTGTAGGCAGCAGCTTCATTGGCTGCTCAGTCTCCGCATCGTGCCGTCTGCCTGGAAAGGTCTGATCCGGTAGCAGTATGTCACATCTTTGATAGCAACTTAGAACCAAGCTATGGTAGTGCAAGCTATGGTAGTGCAGTGCATGCCCTTTACGTACAAACATAAAAAGTCCCAATGCCGAATTTTGTCTCTGCAGTGCCTGTCTATGCTGCAGACATCCCAGAACCAAAGCTGGCAAGTCCTATATTGAGGTGAGGTGATTGAAGCATGCCATCTTGTTGCCACCGGTTGCAGTTGAATCCTTCCAACAAGACACTCCTGATTCATACAGCCTGCTGACAGGACCATGTCGAATAGCTCGACATCACCCCTGTAGTCCTCAACAACGAAAGAAAGTCGTCTGAAGTGCTCTGAGCCTGAAGAATGCATCATGCAAAGGCAGTCTAAGTCCAAAGGGCCAGGCGAAGCGTACTGATTGGTTGGCAAAGATCCTCGGCGGAGCCTATTCTTGTGCAGGGCTCTTGGCGACGCTCACCCGCTGCCACGGCTGACGCACGTGAAGAGGATTCGGAAGACACAAGGTCCAGACGGTGAGACTTCTTTGGTAGTCATTGTTTCGCTCTCAGACAAGGCTCAACGGTACGGTCAGGCTTTGCGGGCTCACTCCGTGACTTGTTGTATCTGTCATGCCTACTGAGCTCCTGATTTATGGCCAGCCTGACAATATCAGGGGCACAGCGCCCCAGACCAAGAGATGAATCAATCAATCAAAGACCAGCCGTATATGCTGTATGTTGCATAAGAGGCCGTTCCTTTGATGTGCCAGAAAGCACGAAAAGGGTACCTATAGCTCTGAACGCATATTTTGGTCCAGGAAACAATCTAGAGTTCTGACAGCTGCTGATTCGCAAACAGACGCATGGAGTCCCAACCTCTAAAGTCCTCGATTCGCTGCAGGTGCGCCAAGGATGTCGATCGTCCTTTGCCCGGTGGCAGAAGCTGCGTCAAGGTTCGGAAGCGAGCCCGTCGTCCTTCCGGACGCTGTCGCAGCTGTGTGTGAGAAGTACGGCCTGAGCCCCTTCCTGGCAGAGGTGCGTCTCATTTCCTCCACCAATCAAAATCCCCGCTAGTCTTAGATTCTGCTCAAATGGTTATTCATTTCTGTCAAGCAAAGAAGCTGGGCCTAGCATCCTCTTTTGGATGAAACCGAAGCGCACGTTACGAGCTTCCCGCTTGTTGACTGGCGATGGTCGTATTTCGTCACATTCGATTCTAATCATGCCCCGCCCTTCAGGTTCCGGGGCGGCCTGCCAGAACCCTCGAAGAGAGCAAAGACGATTGCCAGGTCTGGCCCGTCACGTTTCACCCAAATAGAGAAGGGTAAGCAAAGATATCTCTACAAAGCTCAACCACATGCCAGGTCACCTGTGCTCATATGGGGATCGAATTCAATCGTCGCCTGTTTCTTGCCTTAGCTTTCTCGTTCAGGTTTTCTTGGCTTTCTCTCGTTCAGGTAGCCTTGGCTTTCTCGTTCAGGTTTTCGATTTCCTCGAGCGCCCAGTCTTGCTTGGCAGGTTCCATCTGACTCTTCTCAATCTGATCACGGATCAGGACCCTCAGAAACTTTGAAAGACGGTGCAAGGCTTTTGCAATTGTGTGAAGCTTCTTCGGGGAACCTCAATGCTGATAAGTCGATATCAATCTGGCTCACGAAGTAGAACCCTTGCAGGGCGGGCCCTGTTAAAGAGGAGCTGTCCGAAGAGGACCTGCGCGCGATGTGGCGGTTCATGCAGGCGGCGCTGAAGGAGGCAAAGAAAGCGGCGGACTGCGGACAGGTGCGTGCGGACGTCCGTCTTCCCTAGCTCTTTGCTCTTAGAGCGTCCGACTGAAAGAGATCTGCGGTGCTTACGTTCCACAATCAACTTTCCTTTGATTGACTTGCATTGACTTGTTTCTCCGTGTTTCCTCGCGTTCGACACTTCTTTGCGGTCGAGGTACAAATCAATGAAAGCCTAAAAATTCAGGCGGCCAGTTTCTTAAGTATCAGGTTTGATTTCCTGCTTGCTGTCAGCGTCTGCTACTCGAATTTTGGAAGTGCACCCGATGGCCAAGGCGCCCTCAAACTAGCGGAGCCTGCAAGTTAGAGTGGAAATTCTCGATACTATGCCTGGTGCGTGCTTGGAAGACCATTTTGTCTGCTCAGCAATTCATCGCAGCAAGGTCATCTTTTTGTAGCCTTTGGAATTTCTCACCTTGAAACACTTAGGCTTGAAAATGAGAACGCCACAGCGATTGGGGGCTCTCTTCGTTACCGAATTGACCTCTCCTTCACCAAGTTGCTCTGAAACGGCGGAATTAGCTTCCTCGAGTTCGCTTACGCCTGATGGACATAGGCATCAAAATCCCGCCAGCGGAGATCACGAGCTTCAGATTCAAAACCTTGCCTGGTTCCACAATACTTGGTTCAATAAAGAGTCGCGCTCAAACTCTCCGCTCGTTTCTGCAGCCCGCCAACGGCTGCGTCATTGTAGACCCCGCCACGCATCGCATCGTCGCGTCCGGATTCGACCACAGCGGCCGTCCCTCGGGACACTCCGCCACAATGCCCAAAGGCGCCCTCCTAAAACGGCCGCAGCCCATCATCTCAAATCCGCCACCTGTAAGGCCGTCACTAGATACGGCCGAATCTTCCTTGGCAGCTAGCGCGACTCCCTCGGCACCGTCCGATAATACGATCATCGGCGGTCGTCCTCTGGACGGCGCGTGTTGCGCTCAACCGTCAGAGCCGTCCGTTAGGGTGATCCACGGCGGAGATGCTTCGGAACGCGCAGGCCCGTCGAAATTGCCGTCAGCTAAAGGATGTAGGATACAATGGCACCCGCTGAAGCACGCGGCGATCGTGGCCGTCGATGCGTGCGCGCGGGCAGATCACGAGCAGTTTCCAGACTTCGGCCGCCACAGCGTTGAGCGGAGTAGAGAACTAGAACGCGAGCAAGATGCGGACGGCTCGCAGCCCGCGGCTTCCGTCTCGAGCATTCAAGAACGAAAACTAGATCAGGGCTCTCTCGTCGAAAATCGGTCGACAAGGACAGTTACAGAAAGTAACGTAACAGAATCCCGTAGTGAGAGACCGTTAGGCAAAACACCCGCGGACATCGGAGAAGAAGTTGCCGAAAACGACGAGAAGAGGCGGAAGCTGGGCTCCTCCAGTCTGGACGATACGGGGGCCCGGGCGGGCGTGTTTGCGACTAAGCCGTATCTTTGCACCGGTTTCGATGCATACCTCGTGAGGGAACCCTGTACAGTGTGAGTTCCATTGTCTTGGCTTCTTCGGGTGAAAGTAGGTCGATTTTGTTTCACGGAACCCTGTACAAAGTCAACTGTATTTGTGGTCGCCTTGATTTGGGAGGTCGTTGTATCAGTCAGCATGATGAAACCAGGCTAGTTGAAAGGCGTCAAAGCAGAGCGCAAGACGCATGTTTGAGATCTGGTGAGGATGTTCTTTTGTTGGCAGCCTCCATTCCTTCTGCTCCATTACATTCCCTTGCTCAGCCTGTTTTGGCAACCCTTCTTGCATTGGATTATTTCGTCGGGGTTTCTGCCATTCCAAACATGCTGTTAGTTCGAAGAAGTGTCGAAATGGTCAGAAACAGAGTGTTCCCGGTAGTGCCACTGTGCAGGCGTCCACGCAACAGCCAATCTTGTTGAGGAGCAAAAGCAGGTCTGCTCGTTTTCTTTGTGCAGGTGTGCAATGGCGTTGGTCCACAGCCGTATTCGACGGGTTATATACGGCATCAGTAACTCACGAACGGGGGCCCTTGGGGGGCGCTACAACTTGCAGACGAAAAAGAGCCTTAACCATCATTACAAGGTCTTTTGCATGAAACTCCACGAGAGTGAGGTAAAGAAGGCACTGTGTTGACAATTTGTTCATGGAGGGCGTGATTCCACGCCATATTCGCGGACAGTATCAGCTCATAATGTACTTGAAAGGTGCTTGAAAGCAAGTACTGGCATCACGTGGTTGAAATTTCTTGCCGAGCGGTATACGTGTCGCTTATCGTCCAAGTCGCTGCATGCTCGACATACTGTCACACCGAGCTAGCATTGAACACTGACCATATGTCACCATATGTCATGTTGATCATGGATTTGCAGCAAGGTCCGGAGTCTTCTCTCATATAACACTACAAAGCCACGAAAGAGGATGCTTCCATTCAGCAGTCTTAGATTATCGATCAAATCATCACATTTTACAGATGGTAGTTTCTTATTTATTACACCTTAGCCACATTAGAGCCATGGAGCACGGTCTCCGGCAGACCCGACAGATGCTAGGCGGCATGGGATGAATCCGACTCGCGGACTCAACAAAGCTCTGAGACGTAGCTTCTACGGCTCGAGTCCCCGCTAGCCCTGTAGCGGCGAGGCGCATGCCCTTTAGCGGCGAGGCGCCGCATACCTATACGCCGCGATACGCCTGACCGGCTGCGAGCTAGAGCAGCGGAAAAGAGAGATGTGAACGGTAATGGGTCCTGACCCAAGCAGGCGAGCCCGTGGTGCCGGTTTGTGCAACAGCCAGGCCAGCCTCAAAACGTCCCACCTCGGTCACGAGTGAAGACGTCTCTGATGGCTGAATGCCGTTGAGTACCTTTACCGGTGTTCTTCCGACAGCGTCAAGGCATTCCCCCACGGGGGGTCCCACGAGTGGCAACTTGCAAGCGCACTGCTTGGAATCAAGACTCAAGAGAATTGTGCAAACTGAACGTTGACATCCTTGCTGAGGTCCTCGAAAGGTCCGCCCTAGCTGCGCGTCATTGAACTTGGAAGGGCCAGGTTGTCCTTTTCAGTTGAGGCCGATCTTGTGAGGAACTGTGGTTTGCTTCGAATCCACAGGAAGAGAAACAAGTACTGCTTTCCAATCTATCGCTCAATTGTTCAAACAAGAAGACCAGCCAGCGAGATTAGAATGCTCTGGATGAGCCAAGAGAGCGCGATTTTCTTTGAACATCTGAACAAGAGGGTCCCACACGAGGAAGTAGCAGGTGACTTTTTGTCCATTCTTATCTTGCTTTCACGCTCAAAGTAAGCCTTACTGAACATAGTTCTGCTGCATTGCAGCACATCCTCACAATGTCGATCTTGAAGAGCACTTCATTCAACACATGCTACAGGGAACAGGAAGCTGGTTCGAATAGCACATTGCTCAAGACAACTGTAGCTAAGGTGATTCCTGGAAGTCTGATATTCAAAAGGAACATGGTCGATTTGGACTTGAAAAACATATGATCAAACATCATTGTTTGCAAGCCAAGTGATCACCACCCCCATTTGCTCCGCATCATTTGCAAGTATGCCGTTTCTTTGCCTTTGTTTACATGTCCTTGATACTTTGAGCATTGATCACATCGTCATCGTTGACTTGCAAACGCATCTCCCCTCAAGTCTTTTGTTCCACGTAGATACCAGATTGATGAAGGAAGTGAGAGATTGAGCAGGCTCCGTATATTGTAGACTTGGTTATTACAAGCTTGCAGCAATGCTTGATCAACCCTCGCTTATATTGCATTGCCTGTACCTTGTGCTGCTCAAACAGTCCTCATATGTAATCCTTTTTAAAAGAGTAATCGAAGGAAAAGAGTCTTTCTGTTCTCTTCAAAGCTCAGCTCGGCATGCTGTTCCAGCTATCTCCTGACTTCAACGTCACATCTGCAACAGTCCTCATGTTGATTACCTACCTCTTCCAGGTTCCGGGCCGAGTGTTGTACGACAATTTGGACCGCTTCTGAGTTGTCGCCTTTGAAGAGTTGAGGTAAGTAGTCTTTCTGCTCTCATTACAAAGTCCGTCTGTCCTTGGAGTTGCCATTAGTCAAGAAGGTGATCCATTGAGCATAGAGCTTTTCCCTCCTCTTAACTTCAGTGATTTGCAGTAGATATTTCACCTAGGACTTTTCAGCATCGAAACCTCAGCATTACTGAGTTTCCCAGTCAAACTCCCGGCAAGGCCTGTTTCACATCTGTTCCTGCTTCTATTAGCGGCAACCCCAAAAACTGGACAAGCATGCTTAATCGGTCACTCTTCTTGTCTCTGCAGGCTCCTCCTTCTTGATCTGATCAAGATGTGCGCGTAATCCTTCCTCTGGGACAGTTACATCAAGGTTTAACCACTGTCAACAGACTTGTTCTGGGGCGACCATCCCCTCGAAGAGCTTCAGGCTTTAGTACTTCCCCACTGCAAAACCAATGGCCGCCAGACAGAGGTCTCAGCGGTCGTCCGACATCGATCCTGGCCCTAGAGATCCTCAGGACGAGTTCCTTGCCACTGGGCCAAGAAGGATAAGCCGTCGGAACAGTCGTGGCCGGGATGAGGAACATCTGCAGAGTGGGGGTCCCAAGACTGACCAGGAGAAAGCCCCCTCAGGAAGGAGGCTGCGGATCAGGGGGGCTGTGCAGAAAACGGCGAGGGGGTGTGTGGAAGAGGATACTGAGGGTACGGACAGGATGAGCGGGAGGGGCCGGGGGTCACACAGCAAAGCAAGCAGCGGAGGGGAGGAGTCGGATGACGAACTAGGCGTGGAGGAGAACTTGTTGCAGACGCGCCGCAGTGACCGGGGCCGGAATGGGTTTGTTACTGCGGAGGAGGGGGGGCAGGGACAGTTCACGAAGAGGAATCCCAATTACGGAAAGCAGTTGCCGAGTGGGAGGGGTGCGATTATTGCAACTGGTGGTGCAGATATGGAGTGGTTTGATGAAGGGCGGGCAAAGGATAGATCTCGTGATGCTGCCGGGAGCAGGGGAAAGCAGTTCTCAGGGAAAGAGCTGATCACGAGAGCGGGGGGGCGTGGCAAGGTGCTGAGTCAGATTGGGCCTGGAAAGCCAATCCCTGGGCAGAGAAGAGCGCTTCCAAGCGGCTCGCGGGGGGGCTCGAAACCGGCGCTTGGGAAGGGTGGATTTGCTGAGGAAGCGTTTCATTATGCTAAGAAGCAGCCGAGGGCGTTGGAGCACGATCTCGCCAGCGGGGGGGAGAGTAGTGAACTGTCTGAGGGTGAGGGAAATTCTGACGCAGAAGCTGACGGGTTTTCGTCGGATGAGGATCTGAAGCTGTCCCTGGTCGAGAGGAAGGACTCACCCGAGAGGGACGTGAGACCTGGGAAGAAAGCAATCAGACCGGTTGAAGAAGAGGAGGAAGTCTCAGAAGAGGAGTCTGATTCTGGGGAGGTAGAGAGGCAAGAGGCAGAAGCAAGGTCGAGAGCGGAGGAAGAGGAGAGGATCAAAGAGGAGGAAGAGAAAGAACGGCAGCGCGAGATTGAGAGGTTGAAGGAGATCGAGTGGCAGAAAGAGGAGGCGCGTCGGAGAGACGAGGAACGGAAGCGGGGGGAGGAACGGTGGCGGGAGGAGCGGCAGAAGAAAGAGCGCGAGCGGCGGAAAGAAGTGGAGCGGCAGAAGAGGGAAGCGGAGAAGCAGAAGGAGGAGAAGCGCGTTGCGGAGGAGAAGGCACGGGCTGCGAAGGAGGCGAAGGAGATGGCCGCACGTCAAGCGCAGCGGTCGAAGATGGACCGGCAGCTGAGCGTTTTGGAGCGGATCCAAGCGACGATCGTCGCGGCGAAAAAGGCGCGGACTGGGGGAGTCGGGCCGCGGAGGGCGCCGCCGAAAGCGGCGAAAGATGGGCCCAGCCCGGACGAGTTGTTGATCGACGCGAGAATCGTGAAGAAGCAGCGGTCCATTCAAACCTCCCCTCCGGTGGCGCCGAAGCTGAAGACGGTGCGTGTGTCGATGCTAGACATCGCAGCTGCGGCGGAAGAGATGAGCCCGTCGAGACCTCGCTCGGGCAAACGCAACGGCAGCCCAGGTGTGAACAGCCCCCTCGGTGCGAACAGGTCGGCCGGTGTGAATGGCTTCGAGGCATCAAGGCTTGGTGAAGGGTTGGAAGCGGAACGGTTCACGAACGATCTTGGGGAAGGGGGAGGGAGTATAAACCGGGGGCCGTCAGTGGATTCGGTGCTCCACGGGATCCCCCAGGCGAAGAAGGAACCGCGCTTCATGGCCGGAGGGAGCTTCTCCGACGACTCCGACGAGGAGTCCGAGAAGCTTTTCACACCGCTCGACGAGGCGGACCTCCTAATGGATGTGGACATGCCCGATACGGACGGGCACGGTGCACATGCGCCCGTAAGCGATGAGTCTTTGCCCATAAGCGGGGCGCATCTGGCTGGCGACGGGGTCCATATGCCGATGTACGGGGGAGTTGGTTTGATGGGCATGAAGCGGAAAGCGTTCGAGGAAGAAGCGGAGGGGGGTCTGCACTTGCGGGGGTTGGAGGACTACTCGGGGGATCTCTCGATGGGCCCTACCTGGCGAGGGGGGGGACCGTTCCCCCCACCTGCGTTCGGGGGACATCTCAATGCGGGGAAAGGAGGGTCGGAACGGGCCTCCAAGCAGTTGAGGAAACTGTACCCCGGGGGAGAGTGGCCAAACCCTTCATCACTGCGCCGAAACGAGAGTAGCCTCAGCATCCCGGAAACAGACTGGGTTGTTGATGGGGAGAACAGCGAGCACAGCGGCGCTGCGGGGGACGACCTGGAAGCGGATTATCACCCCCCCGGAGCAGCGGATGTCCAGCTGGAATTGAACGGGGGGGAGGGAAGCGAGGAGGATGACGTGGCAGGGTACCTGGCAGTTGACCATCAAGAAGATGAGGGGCTCGAGTATGACGTGGGTTCACCTCGGGGGGGGAGTGAAAACGGGGCGGAGGGGGGGAGGGTTTCTGGAGCGAATGTTGGTTTGGGACTTGGCGGGGGGGTGGGCATGCGGGCCAAGGCCAGGGTGGGCTGAAGGGGCCGTGCTCCGGATGACGTCAGCGGACGTGGGGCGGGTGACGTCAGCACATGCTAGGGTGGTAGATGCTCTGGAGGGAAGGATGAGGAAAGGGACGCGAATTGCCCCCCCAAGCATTGCTCAAATTAATCAAGCTGAATCCCTCTTGGCAAGGTGAGTGGGCACTTGGCTGGGTTCGCTGCATCTGCACCAACGAGGTTCGGTTCTCGAAACACTTCATGCAAACGAAACTGAGGGTCCTGTTTCGAGGCCAGAAAGGTCTTCCCTTTCGAGCCTCTTCCTGGCGGTGCAAGCTGCTTGCTTGCAATTTGCACAAATATTGTCCTCTGCTCTCTCATTCTGACAGAAGAGTCACTATCTCTTTGAAGCAGGGTCAGCTTTTGCTGTTTCTTGTTCGACGCCCCGACTTGACATAGCGTCGTTCGCTGTAATTAAAGATTTTTAAGCACCATATTTGGTAGCGTGGTAGTCAGACGTGCGCTTCTGGTTCCTTGTTATGGGCGTCTTTCGGGGCCGAACTCAGATCCAAAACTGTGCGGAAGTTGCAACGTTCTCGCCTGGACTTCCCCCAAGAGTCCGCTCACACGAACCCCCATTCCGCCTTGGAGGTTGGTAGAGAAAATAATCCAAGCCAGAAAGGGGCGATTTCGGTGTGTAAAGATACCCCGTTAACATACTGTTACGAACACCACACGCCGTCTCTTGAGCGTGCCTCTTGGTTCTTTTCGGGAGTTGATAGCCCAAATGTCTTATCTGCAGTTCCCGAAAGATGTCGAACGAGTGCGTAGCAGACAAACGGGCTCGTCATCCGGCAGCCAGACATGAAGGGGGATCTTCGCGGACTTGTCTAGCGGCCCCAAGAGTAACAGCAGGCAGCAGAGGTCTAATGCAGGTAAGCTTGTGACTGTTGCGAAAAGCTCTTCTCTCCTTGGAGTGCTGGCTGAACTTATAGTTCCAACTAAGCTCGAAGGTTTTTCGGACCGCTTGGGTTACAGCGTTCTCCCAACTCTTGTCGGAAACGTAATGCTTCAGTGCGCAGTGCATGTAACCAATGTCTCGTAGTGGTGCGCAGTATCGACTGAGCGGACCCTGTTGCACTTGATGGGCCGATCAGGCAACTTCCATCGTGAGAAATTAAACCTGGAGTCCGTTTCGAGTCCTCCCGCAATCAATGATTGACATGATGCGCTATAGCCTGGTGTTGCAGCCCACGCTTCGTCTTTCTTTTTGAGCACGCGGCGAACTAGGTTCGTAACATAGCAGGTTGTCATAAGGTCGTGTTACCTGCAGATGGTCAAGACTCTCAGGTTGATTGGCAGAGGGTAGCTCTTCTTGAGCATCTCAGTACCCAATCGTCTATGGGAAGCTGCGACACCACACACAGAAGCCAGACACGCAAAATGTGCCGATTGGACTGCATAGTAGGCTTGCATGCTGCAGGTGCTTTGGATCCAAATTACAAGCAGACCCAATTGCGACTGGTTGCCAATCGGATAGCACATTTGAAAGTCGTGCCTACGTCCATCTGATGGTGTCGTTCGGACTGGTTAAATCTGCAAACTCTCTCATATGCTAATTAGGACTTCATGCAGCAGAGCAGCGCAAGCTCTTCGCTTGCTCGTCATGCAACCCAGAAGCTAGAGCGTCACAACAATATGGATTTGTCGGATTTGACAGAGTTCAAATGTACTGATCGTTGAGCAGGCTACCTAGCTGCATGCGTTAAATTGTAGCCATGGAGTAATTCTATATCATGCAGGCGAGCAACAACGGTAGTATAGCTAAACTTTAACCATGTATCGTGTATGCGTAACGTGGGCAAATATAGGTACCACATTCCCCATATATGCACCGTCCTTATGCGCGTTATTTTGAGCTGTATGCCCTGACGCGGTCGACTTCAAACATCATATACACATTTGGGATATGATATGGTCTCTGATCGTCTTCGACCCAACCGTTGTTCAATCACTGTTATATAATTGCCGCGCCATGCAAAATTGTATTACCGGCCCACCAGGACATATGAAGTGCTCCAGTCGATGGTGATGTGATCTATAGAAGGGCATGCAGGGCGCTCAATGAGCTAATTATTGATTTGTGCATGTAGCAACCTTGTTTGCAAGGAATGCCTGAAACATTATGCAACAATCAATGGAAGTGCACTATCAAGCTCTTCCAAGAAAGAAACTGCACATTCAATGATGAAACCACGGCAAATTGATTGGACCTTATGTTGCTTGTGACTACAAGCAGCATGCGTCCAGGCTCTAGTTCAACACACCACAGTGTACGTTAGTGTTTTTCTCGTTTCAGTATGTGGCTATGATGTATAGAAGCTACATCCTTTCTATGATAGATCGTTCTCCAGACCTAGACAACATTCTCGTCTAGTGGCTCCTAAGTCTACTATGCAAACAGAAACAAGGTGCAAGTACCTCGAAAACCCAACTTTGACCGCTTGGCAGTAAACCCCACCTCCCCTCCCCATTTTATCTTACAACAGCTGACTAGTGCAATCGCAAACTGTAGGAAATGCGAATGTTACAATAGACCGGATCAAAGTCCGCCTACCAATCGTCGGGATAGATGCTCCTGAGCTTCTTTGTCGGCAGGTATTGACCGTCATCGAAGCTGGTGAAGAACTGTGACAAGAACAACAAAGGCGTCAGGAATCGAAACCACACGACCATGCTCCTCTGTCCTCCATACAGTGGCTTGGCCAAAGAAGCGTCTCATCCAGCTCTAATAACGGCTGAAAACTTAAGGTATCCCCAAATTGCGACAAGTGCCTTCACATAGCAGAGGAGCCAAACCGCATCTAAGATGGTAAAACAGCAACGCCAAGGACCAATAATCCCACGATCCACGTGTGCCTCCTCCTCCTCACCATGTTTGTCCATGGGTGCAGGACCGGCCGCGGCGTGGGCTGCACTGACATGTTTTCCTGTGCGACATACGTCGACATACCCCCGGGGCGGTCACGGACGTCCACGAGCACGTGGTAGAACGGCTGCTTGCGCCCCTCAGGGAGCGAGTCGATCTTCATTTGCTGTTGCCAGCCCTCGGGCGCAGAGCACTCGAGATCGTGCCCATAAATGACACCTCGGTAGCCTGCGCAAAAGTTCCGCGCTCGTTCAGGAAACAAAACGTTTTGTTTTGACTACTTGTCACTTGATAATCTGACCTTTTTGATCGTTTTGGAGCTGGCCTTGCGGGAACAACTAAAATGCAAAGGGACTGGACAAGGATTGTCTTCCTTCCATTGAAGGAGGCCCAAACAGTGTTCAACTACAACCAGGAGTTGAGCACCAGACGGTACAAGAGAACTAAGATTGCAAGCAAGAGTCACTTTGGGGCTGAGTACTCCATAACTATGTACCAAAACAAGAAGCAAACTTTAGTGTGAAAAACGACAAGTCCTGTTTGCAGAAAGCCCGGGGGGGCCCGTACTGAGACAATCCAGTCGCATTACCCTAATCAAAGGCACTCCTCAGTAAAGCAAACTAGAGACGTTCACAATAGTGAATCGACTTGAACAACAACATCGGATAGACAATGAAAGCAGGGAAGCCTAGTCAGACCAGAAGGAACTCATCTAGTCAGAACCAGAAGGAACTCGGGTCAGAGCAGACCAGAGGATGATACAATAGGACACAGAAACATGATTCGATCAGATACAGAAGCAGAGCCAAATGTAAGAAAAGGAGTGAATCGAGATGAGAGCACGAGAAGGCTTGAAAGAGACAGTGGCCCTCACCATATTTCTTGTGCACGATGACATCCCCAATCCGGTACATGGTCTGGGGCTGCACAGAAATCTCCATCATGCGCTTCTGCAGCGCAAGCATGCGCACACGGTCCCGCAACTGCCACAAAGAACGGTGCAAATGATCAGTGAGCAGAATTTTGGAGCTCTGTAACCCCTTAACATCTGTGGTGAAGAAAGATGACTGTTTCGCCGCATCAAAGAGGAATCGGTAGTTTGATTCTTTTCCTTCTCAAGTGTCGGAATGTAGTGAAGAAGAGGCTGTGATCAGGGACTGGCTGCCTGTCACTCTACCTACTATGGTGTCCCGTTTGATGCCCTAAAAGGCAAGGAGGCCCTCTTGAGTCTCTAGAAGAGGCTGACAATGACGTGTGTTGAGTCCCCAGCAATAGGCGAATGGAACAAGGAGAGGCTGCGGCTGCTCCTAAACAAAGCTAGTCCAAAAGTACGTCTCCTCACAAGAAGAACCAAGTTTCTTCAGAAAAGGTTTGTGAAATACCGAATCTATGGAGTGATCCATTGGACTGGATTGATGTCTACCGAAAGATACTTATGCTTTCTTCCTCAAGTTTTGAGTGGACAGCGCTCCGCCTGCATGCAGCTGCACTCTTAATTATAGAAAGTACACGCCACAGCAGAATGCCGAATCCCTTCCTCAAAAACCTGAACTCGTTCTGCAGCGAGCTCTTATGCATGCTTTACTGACCCGCAATGCTGATTGTTCGTGTGCTCTGTACTTTTCTGACGTCAATGTGGGGCTCTTCGAACTGACATTGGACAAACAAAGACTTTTCATCCAAAGTGTCTGGATCGTCTCTTGAAGACCTGGTCCCGTAATCTGGATGACAAGACTTTACTACTCTGATGCCAACAGTGTGGCAGTTTGTGGACAGACGTGGCAGTCTTGCACAGAAAAGGCATCATAGAACATGATTCTCTGATCCGGTTAAGCCATTGCATTCAGCCTTCACTCATTCACCCACAAAAGTCTGAATCTGGATTCTCGTACTGATTGGACAGCCAAAAAAAGGGCAATTGACAGTGTGTCACGCCCCCTTGAAAGGACCGGTAGATGGAAGTCACTCGAAGCAAGTCACTCCAAACAGCTAGAAGAGAACAATCTACAAATGAAGAGTTTCTGCTCACCTCTATGGCCTCCTCATACTTTTCTGCTTTGACCAGCCGGTCCAAGTCCTCTTCCAGCTCCGTGAGACTACACCGCAGCCTTTGATAGTCTTCCTTTGTTTCCAATTCCTGCAGACAAAGGCATTCAATTAGCCCACGGCCTGGGGGCAAGGAGATGCTGAGACTTGCAACCAATGGCATGCAACAGGGAAACTCACTTGGAAGATTGATAAAAAACAGCCAGCATTTGACATCAGAACCACTGGTGATTGAAAAATATGAGCCAGCATTTGACGACAGAAACACTGGTTTACAACAATAATTCTGGACAAACTGCAATTGGATGCCGTCAGAACGAATAAAAAGGGGCAGCGCATTAACCCTATTGGAATCCGTCTGCAAATAACGGTTGAAAATCCTGGGGCATGTCTTGAAGGCGACAAGCCAATGCCCCCAATCGTCCATCAAGCACAAACATCACATTCCATCTAAAATCCATCTAGAGATACGAGGGCATCTCTGTGGGGAATTCTAGCTTCCGCAAAAACCACAGCCCCAAGTTGTTTTATCCAGTCCATCAAGCACAAACATTACATTCCATCTAGAATCCATCTAGAGATACGGGGGCATCTCTGTGGGGAATTCTAGCTTCCGCAAAAACCACAGCCCCAAGTTGTTTTATCCAGAGTGCCTATCAAGCTTCGTACCCGGACACCTTTCAGGCTCAGAACCTCTTGTACCCCAAACCATTCGCCTGGCTCGCTGCTAAGTATTAGCCCACTCAAAATCCCTGGGGATAAGCAGTTTGACGTCTGATACAAATCAAAGTATTAACAAAACACAACATGCAGTCTTGTATCAAGCATTTAGCACACAGCCTGAGCTTCGGCACACGGGCGTGCAACAACAGCTCTGCAGATAGCCTGATGCTTATGTTGTTGGCCAGATTACTTGCATCAAGCATTTTGCAGGCGGCCTGACCCCTTCCAGATAACCTTGGCGGACTGTCTAAACTGTTTGCATGATTGATCACAAAGAGCTTTAGCCAACAAGTGCAAGACCCCTACCCCAGCTTACTGGTTAATGCTATCAATGTGCTAATCTTGCTGCGGACAGCTCATATGTTAACCATCATGCAAAATTCTGCACCAAACTTATGAATGAACACAGAGTTGACAACAAATTGATGAGCCAAATGATTGCGTGTCCTCAGCCCAGACTTCCTCCCCTACTGTAGAAGAACCCTTGAGCCAAAAAGACCTAAAGCAACGATCCAGCTACAGGCAACATGGCTGTGAAGTTTTACAAGAGACCACAACAAAGCATAACCCAGCACAAGATTTCGGCTCCCTTGCCAATTGAGCCAATAGCAAGACTTTTGACAGGACTGATGTGACACTCACTTGTCTGAAAGTCTTGATTATTGTACACTCATTGCCAAATGAATTCCGCACGGATGAGTCTCCCTGGAAGTCCCCAGCCATGGATCTCGCCCCGTCCCCCTCATGAGACTGGCAGGTGGCCCCCCCATTGTTCTCTCTTACCCGGCTGCCCTCTCCAAAAGCTGTGTTATGAACCAAACCCTCACCAAACAGGCTCTTCTGGAGGGGTTGCTGCCGCCTCAACAATGGGCCCCCTCCGCAACCCGAACAAGGGGACCGAGAGGCAGCTGAATTGATCTTGGGAGTTGCCCCCCTCAAGAAAGAGTTCCCTGCAAGCCCTTGCGACGCAGCGGCTTTGGCAAGGTGGGCCATCTTCAGCAGGAGAAGCGCAAGTCAATCTGAATTGCAAGGGAAAAGGTGCAAATGCGAAGCACGCCGCCAAAACGCCCCCCGCCCCCCCCGCCCCTTTGTCCGCTGCGAATGACTAGACCTGCCCTTTACCCGCCAGATTACCTACGCAGGGATGGTGACCGGCCTCAAATGCTGCACAAAGGAAGGGGTTACAGCACGTGTGCGCCCTGCGCCCTTCTTCAGACTCCAGAGAAGTTTTCTTCCAAAATCGAGCACTCCTGAGCAGAGTCACAGCACACACGCACAAACGAACCTTCTCATTGACGGGGGAGAATCTGTGGCGACCAGATCTCCACCGTGGCCGCCAGCGAATCAAAAAGAGGATATATTGTTTGTTCCAAAAGCCGTTCGATGGCCACTTTCTACAGATCGGACGGCTATAGAAGCTTGAAACTCGTGGGCTCTGATTCGCGACTTCAGAGAACAAGCTGGTAATGATTGACATCCCAGGTCAACTTTGCAGGGGCCCTTGTTTACTGGTATCTGCGCGCGCCCACGCGGTCAACCATTACCGCGCCGCACTGTGACCCAAATTGAATGCTGCAGACTCAATGCCGCTCTTCTAGTTCTAAGAAGGGCCTAGCTAGCACATGCAGGGACGTAGAGGTCAATAACTTTAAAGTTTAAGTCCTGCTTCTCTTTGCCACGTCCCTCACTGCTGGTGAAATGCAGCATTGCATTTCCCAAGTCTGATTAACAGCTGCTGATGGCTGGGACTGATTCAAAAAATCGTTGTTCACTTGAAGCGATTGGCACAAGAGAGCAAGCCGCCGCCAGTTGTTAGTTCACCGGAAGACCATATTTCTGTGGCAGACATCAGGAACTACGACGTCCTACGCTGATCATGTGCTGAGCTGCCATGCACAGCGTGACGCACTCGTATGCACAGAAAGGGCTTACCGTGGAAGGCCTCAACAACTTCGGCTCCTCTCCACATCAGCGATCCCTTGCTGAGGACTCTTCTTACTCTACTCAATCCGATTAGGTTCACACCGGTGCTGCTAGCTTTAATCAAGGATTGCGAGGTTTCTGAGCAGGAAGTAAAACTTTTTCTCTTACAACTTCTCTTTCCAGCGACAAACCCGCCACCACCTATCCAGCTCAGCTCCTTGCTTTAGATTCAGGGCAGTCAGTGAACTGCGGCCCCCTGCCATGCTGCTCAATAGATCTCAAACTCCAATAGCAACACTGGGGGGGCACTTGCACACTTAGAATGCCTGTTCATCTGCCCCCCCCAGCGCTTCACAGCCAGTTGGCGGCTGGAGGGGGGGGGCAGCCTGCTTGGGCTGGCACTCTTGCAATCCTGGGAGTGGTGGCACTCCCCTTTCTTCAGAGCGCAGCCAAGCCGGCGCTGCGGAGGGTCTTTGTAAGCTCCGACCCTGATCGAAGTGTTTGTCGTAAGAGTCTCTTAGAAGGATAGTGAATGTTGCCCTAATCTTAGCAAAATCTGGCAGGTGCCTGTGCTTTGTAAATGTGAATGTCTTCGTAAGGTTGAGATCAACATCTGGGTAGACTAGCGAGGCAGGGGGGTTTTTGAGCTGTTGGGTTGACAAGAAGTGATCTGTTGAAAACAGCGAGTATCAGAAACTGTTTTACTATCTGCGTAGAGAGGTTCAAGGCGGGCGCATCAGTGAGCCTAAAGTACTGGAAACACGGTTGTACAGACATAACTGCTGGCAAGATTTATGACAATATCCAATGAAGGGTATCCTGGATGAAGTCGGTACCCCTTGTTCAGTGGATGAATTCCTTTCAACGAGTGCCTCACCTTAGTCGATGGTAAGGCACCGAATTGACGCCTCCGCGTTTCTTTGTTCAGAAACCGACCAAGTGCAAGCTCTGCTATGGAACGGGGACCACTGTATCCACACCAGGCACCAGATTTCGGACATGATTGACTCCACCCTTGAAAGCCCGATCTAGATCGATTGAAGAGTTCACGTGATGCCCATCTTTTCAGTCACAGATTGTTGTCCGTCACAGATACTCTAGATTGTCTGTATGACTCTAAGAACTAGGAAAGCTGTCCTGAATTTGATTCGGTCTAAAAACGTTCGAAGCGATCCGCTCAGGATCTGCCTCAAACCCCTGACTTTCCTCCTTGACCACCCTTCACTGCTTCTAGCTATGTACCACATGCAAAGGTCGTGGGAAAGAAGGTGAGACCTCTGCATCGAGTTCCTTACCTCCAACGGTGGCCCAACGAGTTCTATTTCTTCTGTGATTTGACATCCTCTTTGCGAAATTGTTGAGCTTCAGCGACATGCTTTTCTAAAGCGCTCGGAGTGCGTCACTATCATCCGACTGGAAGGAGACTCACTAGGATGCATTAAGCTCAGTCTGATGAAACTTTCACGGAACGCTTCTTCTCAAAGATGGCGTACTGGTTCAGCTCGTGATGCTTGAACTCAAAAGCGGCCCTGTCTGGTGGCTCGTTGTCTCAAAGGTCCAACTCATAAACATTCAACGAGATCTACTCAGCCCTTGACTGTCAGAGAAGACACTAAAACCGAGAAAACCGACAAGAACTACTATTCACTGATTACGGTTGGCGTCTTTCTTTTTAGGAAGTTCCCAGAAAGCGTCAGTGTATCAGATGGTCCCATTGCACCTGTGGGCCCTAGATTCCTTTCAGTGTTCGTCAGGATCCGTTGACATATCTCACTTGTGTGACGATCCGTTGACATATCTACCTTGCGTCACTATACGCTCAATAAGAGGATCTTCGCTCAACTCGAGAAGGTACTAGTAGACAGCTGTGTGCCTGAGTTGAGCTACATCTCGTTTCCGGCCCAAAGTATTCCACCCGTTGCCGCTGCAATTGCTCTCGCCTCAAAAATCAAAGAGAATCAGTCGCTTGTCTGATGAGTGAGAACGTTCATCTCGAGATACGTCCATCACATCTTGTCAGGACACCCTTTGCGTCTCATCGAGCTGTCTTTCTTCATCTTGCATTTCGCAGATATCTGTCACAGTCGAGCTTCGAGAGAGGCTTGTTCTTGACTCATAACTCCCGCTAGCATGGGCCTATACTTCAGATTGATCGTATGGCCGTTCTCAAATTTGCCTCATATATCCGAACTCACAATCGAGCTTTGCTCGTGTAAATATGATCTGAAATACAGTCGAAAGTGCCTGTAACTTTGATTACCATTGTGTCACAGGTGGTCTAATAAGCGGCGAGAGCCTGCGGCAGTGCACAGCGTGCTTCGGCAAGGGAAAGCAACTCTGCAGCAAGTGCAGAGGCGCCGGTATTGACAACCGGTGGCTTTATGCGGGACGACGAGTCAGTGAACCCAAGCTCTGACGCCTGCCAGCCGGCCTACCACCTTGGCTCCGCTTGCGTCATGCCAAAACCTCTCTGCCGTTTCTGGCTGGTTCTCCCCTGCTCGCATACGTGTTGCTTACGTTGTCAACAGGTATCAGCTCGCGTGTTGCTTTGTCTAGTTTCATCTTGGCACCTCGACAGAGAATTGGTGGTTCGCAGACGCAATTGCGTCCTGCATGAAAGAGCCCCCGTTTGCAGACCAGCGTTGATCTTTTCGTCACTATTGGAACACTGTCGAAAAGTCCGCAGAGTTCTACAGTAGTTCCTGACGCTGGTTAAATGTAGCTTCCGTATCTAAAAGGTATAGGTGAGAGCTGCAACTGCATTGTTATGATCAACTTCAAGATGGACTGCGTCCATATTGATGGAGCTCGAGACAGGTTGGATTTGCGTACGGTACTGACGTACCATGAACTTAACCATCAGTCGATGTTGTTGCATGTGCTTTGGTCGATTGCAAACAGCCACGGTGCTTGGAGTTCGGCTGCTTTTGAATCAGGCCACATGCCGGCGGGCAGGTAGCTGCATGTCGACTCTAATATGTCTGTCAGCCCGCATAACCAAGTACCACCACAAAGATCAAAAGCTCATCGAATGTTAAATTGTCGGCCATGCACAAACTCGATTATGACCAGTAGACATTATATGTATCACTGATACTGATACAAAGTCAGTTGAGAGCAGACTAGCTCGCTGCATCAGTCCATGAAACTATACAGCTTCATAAACCTTTTTATTGAATAATTTCAAAGATTATGATCTGCGCACGTTGCACATGAGGGCCAGGAGATTCATCGATCCTTTAATTAATTGCCAGTGGTAGAGCTAATTTCATAATGTCGTAATAAGAAAAAGCTTTGACAAGCGCTCATGCCACATGTGACATTCCACAAGAAGCGAGTGGACAACCAAAGTGGCGGAACGCCTTAATCCCTATGGGGCCTCGATTCATATGGGGGCCTTTAACTGGCTAGTCAAGGGATCAAGGGCTCAGGATCTGCAGATTTTGAATTGTGAAGAGAAAAGCGCGAGCATGCTGGGTGCTTTTATTGCAGGTTCGGTCAAACCTTGGCCGCCTGACCTGA